CGGCCTTAGAGGTCTGGTGGTGTGAGCCTCGTCATCGATGTTTTGGGTGGTGGGGAATGTAGGTGTGATTTTCAGTTATTATCCTCTGCTTTAGGTCAGAAAAGAGAGGAATTCCCCACCTAGACTCATATTTTCATAAAACCATAGATAATGGAGGAATGCAATTCTGCAGGTCAAGAAATGAATCGTCAGGATATGTTGTTCCGTCGGATTACCAAGGTAAAAAAACAAAACAAACAAACAAAAAACAACAACAACAACAAAAAACTAAGAAATAAGGAAGGAGATCACATTTTAGAACCCAACAATGCAGCTTGAATTCTGCATTGATCTTGAGCTACTCATTTGGACTTTCTGAATGCAGTGTGAATGTTTCTTCCCAAGCAGTGGGGGACGCATGCACCTGCCGGTGCTCGTGCACACGGGATTGGCGTGCAGATGTGTGCAGGCCACACACGGAATGTTCTGCAGCTGCCCTGGGCCCTGGGTGTGTGAGGCGGCCCCCTGCCATGTTGAACTTTAAAGGGTGTGATGCCGGAATGTTGTTGGCTGAGTCCTGATTAGCATGAGCCCTTCTGATCCTCTTACCTCACACCTTGCCTGGCATCAGCCCAAATGGCGTTTGTGCAAATGGTTTATTGGCACGGGCTTGGGACGAAATCCACCCAAGAGGAGGGGTCCCTGGGGCCTTGCTATCCGTGGACTTGGATGAACTCATAGTGCCTGGGGGTGGAGAGGATGACCCTCAAACATGTTTTCCATCTCGTGTTTTTCTCCTAGATGCAGGACCCTAGATGCAGAGCCCCAGGGCACAGAGGATTCCAGATTCTTACAGGGGACTGAAGGAGGCTTGACTGAAAGGAATCAGGGCTGCGAGGGTGGGGGAGAGATTCTAGTAGTTTCTCCATTTCACAGCAATAATTCCTCCCCGCCCCAACCCAACACACACACACACACATGATATATGCATACACCTGTCTGGTGTGCAAGTTCCCCTTTTGCTCAGACTTCTGATTTTGCAGACACTTCTAAGGAAACATTGATGTTCCCTTTAATTTTTGTCTTCTTGCTCTTGCAGCTTCCCCGCCACGTGTGCAATATGACTGATCCCAACTTCTTTCTTTCTCTTTCTTTCTTTCTTTCTTTCTTTCTTTCTTTCTTTCTTTCTTTCTTTCTTTCTTTCTTTCTTTCTTTCTTTCTTTCTTTCTTTCTTTCTTTCTTTCTTTCTTTTTCTCTCTCTCTCTCTCTCTCTCTCTCTCTCTCTCTCTCTCTTTCTTTTTTTTTTTGGGGGGATGGGTTTTCACTCTTGTTGCCCAGGCTGGAGTGCAGTGGCATGATCTTGGCTCACTGCAACCTCCGCTTCCTGGGGTCAAGCGATTCCCCTGCCTCAGCCTGGGATTGCAGGTGCTGGGATTGCAGGTGCCCGCCACCACGCCTGGCTAATTTTTACATTTTCAGTAGAGGCAGGGTTTCACCATGTTGGCCAAGCTGGTCTGGAACTCCTGACCTCAGGCGACCCACCCGCCTCAGCCTCCCAAAGTGCTGGGATTACAGGCGTGAGCCACTGTGTCCAGTCTCCCACATTTCTTAAATGATCTGCATCATAAAATGTGGTGCTTTAATTATGTGCTATCTGGTTGTTCCTCATTTCCTGGACACCTATGAGTATTATCTCCCAAACTAGTTTGCTTAGCTGTGTGGAGGCGTGCACCTCAAGGCATGTTCTTGCAAAAACCCACTTCCCCCATTCCCTTCCTGTGGTTAGAATGCTGGGTGCAAACAAGTAATTACTCTGTGTTTGGCTATGAATTATAATATAGGGCATTAGGTTCCCAGTACAAAAGGACTCCTTTTTTTTTTTTTTTTTTTTTGATACATGGTCTTGCTCTGTCTCCCAGGTTGGAGTGCAGTGGTACATCTTGGCTCATGGGGCAACCTCTGCCTCCTGGGTTAAAGCAATTCTCCTGCCTCAGCCTCCTGAGTAGCTGAGATTATAGGTGCCCGCCACCACACCGGGCTAATTTTGTATTTTTAGTAGAGACAGGATTTCACCATGTTGGCCAGACTGATCTCGAACTCCTGACTTCAGGTGATCCACCCGCCTTGGGCCCAGTTGGATTCATCTTTAAGGAACAAGTTAACCAAAAAGGAGGACCAAACATAATAAGCATACGTATTTTGTATATATGTAAAAATGTAAATGCACTAAACGATGCTAGGTAATGTTAATGGATATATGTGCTTTGTATATTAATACATGTTTAAATGTTATTAATATGTATTTGGATGTATATACTGTATGTGTATGAAATTTAGAATGGAAGTATATACACCGAATAAATAATGACATTTGCCTGCTCGGGGAAACAGAGAGGAGAGAAATTGGATTGTCTGGGGAGCCAATGGGAGACTACTTGTTTGTAAAATGTTATTTTTAAAAGACTCAAAGTAAATATAATGTCAGTAATTGTCCATTCTGGGTGATTGGAATGTAGATGTTTGATGTATTATAATTGCCTGATATAAAATGTAAAAAATAGGCTGGACGCAGTGACTCCTGCCTGTATTCCCAGCACTTTGAGAGGCCGAGGCAGGTCGATCACCTAGGCCAGGAATTCCAGACCAGATTAGCCAACATGGTAAAACCCCGTCTCCACTAAAAATACAAAAATTAGCCAGGTGTGTTGGCGGGCACCTGTAATCCCAGCTACTCTGGAGGCTGAGGCAGGAGAATCGCTTGAACCCGGGAGGCGGAGGTGGCAGTGAGCTGAGACCACACCACTGCACTCCAGCCTGGGCAGCAAGAGTGAAATTCTGTCTCAGAAAAGGGAAGGGGAGGGGAGGGGAGGGGAGGAGAAGTGGAGGTGGAGGGGGAGGGGAGGGGACGGGAGGGGAGAGGAGGGGGGGAGAGAGAAAGAGAGAGAGAGAGAAAGAGCGAGAAAGAAAGAAGGAAAGAAAGAAAGAAAAAGAAAGAGAAAGAAAAAGAAAGAAAGAGAGAGAGAGAAAGAAAGAAAGAAAGAAAGAAAGAAAGAAAGAAAGAAAGAAAGAAAGAAAGAAAGAAAGAAAGAAAGAAAAGAAAGAAAGAAAGAAAGAAAAAGAAGAAAGAGAAGTTGGCATCAGTCATATTGCACACATGGAGGGGAAGCTTCAGGAGCAAGAAGACAAAAATAAAAGGAAACATCTTTGTTTCCTTTGAAGTGTCTGCAAAACCATAAGTCTGAGCAAAAGGGGAACTTGCGGCACCAGACAGGTGTGTGCATATATGTGTGTGTGTGCATATATGATGTGTGTATGCATATATCATGTGTGTATATATTATGTGTGTATGCATATATCATGTGTGTGCATATATCGTGTGTATGCATATATCATGTGTGTGCATATATCATTACACATTTGTTAAAACAGAGTGTAAAAAATAGTGAGCTGAAATGTATCTGCTTTGTTTTTTCTTGTACTTTTGGTGTCATCTCTAAAATCACTGTGGGTTTTTATGACCTTAGATATGGCTCATAAAATATTACCCTTTGTTTGCTTCTAAAAGCTTTCTAGTTTCAAAGTTTATCTTGACTACACTGGTCGATTTTGAGTTGATGTTTGTGTATCATACACGGCAGTAGACTAGAACTTTCTGGCCCCTTGTTAGCTGTTGTTTCATTCATTTTTCTATATCCTGTGAAGTAGGAGTCCAAAGTCATTCTTTTGCAGTTGGATATCCAGTTGTAGTGACCTTTCGAGCCTGAACCACTTCTCTCAGGCATGACACCGTCTTCCAACTGAAAACAACTAAGCAGTTCTCAAGTTTCCATGGAGATGAGGCAGACCACGTCCCATCCTTGTAGGAACAAAGATGCGATGATACCATGGTCTGCTACCAGATCCTGGGCTGCAGGAAACCCGAGGTGCAGGGCTCCACCATCACAGTGAAGCTCCTGCCTTCAGCAGATCCCACCACCTGTTGCCATTCTTCCCCATCATCTGAAAGAAACTCCTTTAATAAGTATTAAACTTGTACTGGAAAAAATTCAATAAGTAAATAAGATATCATTGTCGTAACAAACTCTGTATTTCTAAGGTGAATTAATAAAGCTGTGACCTCCACAAGGATTTTTTTTTTTTTTTTTTTTGAGACGGAGTTTCACTTTTGTCGCCCAGGCTGGAGTGAAATGGCCTGATCTCGGCTCACTGCAACCTCCGCCTCTCGGGTTCCAGCTCTAAATTTTATTTGTATTTTTAGTAGAGACGGGGTTTCTCCATGTTGGTCAGGCTGGTCTCGAACTCCTGACCTCAGGTGATCCACCCGCCTCGGCCTCCCAAAGTGCTGGGTTTACAGGCATGAGCCACCACACCCAGTCATGCATTCTTCTTTAAACTATTGGCTGCTTAAGACTCTGCTATTTAATTTCCACATCTGAATTTTCCAGCATTCTTTTTATTGTGAATTTCCAGCTTCTTTCTAGAGCAATCATAGAAGATACTTTGTATCTTCAGTCAACAACATTCAGACATGTGGAAATTAAATAGCAGACTCATAAACAGCCAGTGGTTTAAAGAAGAATGCACCGCTGGGTGTGGTGGCTCACGCCTGTAATCCCAGCACTTTGGGAGGCCGAGGCGGGTGGATTACCTGAGGTTGGGAGTTTGAGACCAGCCTGACCAACATGGTGAAACCCCTGTCTCTACTAAAAATACAAAATTAGCCGGGCGTGGTGGTGAATGCCTATAATCCCAGCTACTCGGGAGGCTGAGGCAGGAGAATTGCTTAAACCCGGGAGACAGGGGTTGCGGTGAGCTGAGATCGCGCCATTGTACTCCAGCCTGGGCAACAAGAGGGAAACTGTCTAAAACCAAAAAATAAATAAAGAGAGAAAGAAAGAGAAAGAAAAGAAAACCTAATTAAAATCACGGTAAACAGACATTGAGGTGTACATGTAAAGGTCTCCCTCTTTGGCTCACGAAACCCAATTTCTCACCACAAAACCATCCACTCCTTACACGTGTTGCCTTTCAAATGCTTTTAATAAAGAACAGGTGGGGAAGTACAAAGTGTAACAATTGAGAGTAGGAAAGAGGACCAGCATCCAACTCTGGGACCACACCCCCAACAGCTTCTCAGCGCCCCCTCCTCCTGCAGTTCATCCACCCGTCAGCATTTCTGCCTGCCTGGCCAGCCCGTCTGCCTGCAAGGCTCTGGCCAATCTCTCCCTGGCTTTCTTCACCCTCCTGGTCTGTCTCCGGATATCTGCACGAGTCACCAGTTGGCCCGAGAGGGGCGGTGGGAGCTGACAACCCACTCCTGGGGTTGGCCCCCCTGCCACAGCTGGAAACTGCCCAGGGGTGGACTCGGGCAGCCTGTGCACACGCTCAGCTCCAGCCCTGTCCAGAGATTCACCGGCCATCCCCGGTGCGAGGATACTGAAGACGTTCTCCAACTGCAGTGGACTCGAACCTTCGCCTTGGCTGCTGCAGGGCTGCAGGGCCTGCATTCTCCGGTAGGCGCAGAGTTGCTGTGGCTTCTCCAGGTGCTCCTCCCCTTTTCTGCGTCTGACCTGGTTGTCAGGATGAGACCTGATCCTTGTCACCGGCCTCGGGAAGATGCAGCTGGTGAGTCTCACGGGGAGAGCAGACCTCGCAGCTCGTCTCCGACGGGCCTTGGCCATGTGGATTTCTCGTTTCTTCTGTAAAGCCCAGGGCATCATGTTTCTTTTGAGCTTCCCCTTTCAAAAGAAAAGAAAAGGTGAAATTTCAGCCAAATGGAGGCTGGAGAAGGTCAGCTCTGGGGGGCTTCTCTCAGCTCAGTGGAATCTTCCCACCAGCCTCTCTTTCTGGGGAAATGTGTCTCAAACGGCACCGTACATCCTCAGCACCCGCAGGGTTTGTTAAACTCAGATCTCTGGACCTGAACCCAAGTGAGCCTGGGGTGGACCCTAGAGTCTGCATTTCTCCATGTGATGCTGATGCTGCTGGCAGGAGCTCCAAGCATTGACACTGGGTCCTGGGACCTCATCGGGCTGATGCGAGTCAAGGACTAAATGCTCAAGGTCATGTCCCAGGGCCAGTTCCAGACCTTGTCCCTCCTCATCCTCCTCGGAGGACACCCCTCTCTTCTCTTCCCTGCCACTGTCAGCTACACACATGCTGGTGCCTCCTAACCTATCCCCAACAGGACACCGGGATCCCAGACTTCCCTGTGAACCAAGACCTCACATTTCTCTGTATCTCTTGCTGCTGTGCTTCAGGACACACCATCATTTTCATAGCTCCTTGACTCCCTGGTCTCCAAAGAAATGGTGCCCTCGCCAACCCTTAAAATACTCACTGCCACACCCGGATCCCATCTTCACCTGAGCGCCTCCTGCTCCTGAAGAAAAACCTCAGAAACACCATGTTGGCTTTCTGTTTCTGATAAGCTCAATTAACCAGAGTTGTACCATGAGGGAATCTTTTGATGACATACTGGGAAAGATGATTAAGTTCTTCCTAAGATTTGAAATCCTTTCTTGCTCTAACTCAATTAGAAGACTCTAGTCTCATAAAGCTGTTTCAGATACAGACTTTATCAGGGCCTTCGTTTCTGTCCTTCTCATTTCATTTCTGTTGTCCTGGCATTAAGATTAACACTACCCCTTTACACAACCTAAGATGTTCCCCTTTGGAGGGAAAATTATTTAGTCCCCTTAGTTACAGGGCACCTGTGATGTGCCAAGCTGTACAGTAGAACCCCTGATCCAGAAGTAAACTTTGTAAGGCACCGTTCTGTTGATTTTCATCTTGGTGAGAAGGAAGACGTAATAAACACACTATAAACAAATTTCTGATAGAATCGAAGCTATTATCCCCATACAGTTTCATGGGCAAAAATGAGAATACTTTGAATATTATTCAACAAATATTAACACCTAAAGTATAACTTTCCACAACATCTAGTTTTAAGAACAACTCACTGCTAACTGCAAAGATGTTTTACAGAAAGAAAAAGGACACAAATGGACATTCTTGTGGTCGATAAAAATCCCGTACTCACCAGAACAGATGGTCTTGGAAAAGAGGTGAACGTGGGCTCTCCCATAGCTGTCGAGTTTCTCTTGCTGACCCCAGTCCTGAGATGCAGACAGCCCTTGGCTTGCTGGAAAATGCAGTGACTTCTGCATCTGGCTCCTCTTTTATAGAGAAAGGGAGTGATAACCCAATCACTGGATAATCCACAAGGAACACCCTATCTCCGCCCATTGGATTTGAGGCATTTCTAAATCTTTATACAGAAACCAATGTGGTGTTACCGACACAGAGTGTTAGTAGAAAAAGAATTTAATATGTGTGTGTGGCGAGGTGGTATTTGCAGTTAATGTCAGCATTTTAGATGTGTTCCCTTTTCCTCCCCTTCTTTCAAATATCTCTGAAAGCATTCAATGGAAATAAGAATGGAACTGTTGGCTGGGCGTGGTGGCTCACGCCTGTAATCCCAACACTTTGGGAGGCTAAGGTGGGTGGATCACCTGAGGTCAGGAGTTCGTGACCAGCCTCAACATGGAGAAACCCCGTCTCTACTAAAAATACAAAATTAGCCGGGTATGCTGGTGCACGCCTGTCATCTCAGCTACTGGGAGGCTGAGGGAGGAGGAGTGCTTGAACCTGGGAAGCAGAGGTAGCAGTGAGCCGAGATCGCGCCATTGCACTCCAGCCTGGGAGACAAAAGCGAAACTCTGTCTCAAAAAAAAAAAAAAAAAAAAAAAAAAAAAAAAAACCAAGAATGGAATTGTCCGTGTACATAAATGTTCATGCACTATTTGATTTAATAACAAAAATTAAAGACCATTTAAATGTTCATCCGGAAAAAATGCCCAAAAAAAAAGATAAAAAAAAAAAAAAAAAAAAAAAAAAAAAAAAAAAAACCAAGAATGGAATTGTCCGTGTACATAAATGTTCATGCACTATTTGATTTAATAACAAAAATTAAAGACCATTTAAATGTTCATCCGGAAAAAAATGCCCAACAACTTTCCAATGTTGCTCACCCTGTGCTTTGGTTGGGATACCTGCTTTTGAGCTGTCTTTCACTTTAGTAATCTAGACTTTTGCTAGGTTCAATTTCATCTTAATGTCTTCCTTTTTTGTTGTTTGTTTTCTGAGATAGGGTCTTTGAGACAGTGTCACCCAGGCTGCAGTGCAGTGGCTCGATCATCGCTCACTGCCGCCTCGACCTTCTGGGCTCAAGAAATCCTCCCTCCTCAGCCTTCCAAGCAGCTGGGACCACAGGTACATGCCCCTCCACCCAGCTAATTTTTGTATTTTTTGTAGAGACAGGGTCTTGCCATATTGCCCAGGCTCATCTCAAATTTCTAGGCTCAAGTGATCCTCCTTCCTCAGCTTCCCAAAGTGCTGGGATTATAGGTGTGAGCCACCTCATCCAGCCAATTTCTAACATTCTTAATTGCAGTTCTAACTATAAGACACAATAAATAGCTTTAATTAAATAATAGGTTGAAAAGCAACTCCACACTGAATGAGAGACAAACTTTCCTTTCAATACAATAGAACTCAAAATGGCAAGGAGAAAAGTATAACTTGGATTACATTAAATTATGTTAAGATTAAAAAGATTTATTAAGAGCTCCCATTACTCAGGCTGGACACGGTGGCTCACACCTGTAATCCCAAGAGGCCAAGGTGAGCAGATCACCTGAGGTCAGGAGTTTGAGACCAGCCTGGCCAACATGGTGAAACCCTGTCTCTACAAAAAATACAAAAATTGATTAGGTGTGGTGACGGGCACCTGTAATCCCAGCTACTCAGGAGGCTGAGTCAGGAGAATGGTGTGAACCTGGGAGGTGGAAGTTGCAGTGAGCTGAGATTGCACCACTGCACTCCAGCCTGGGTGACAGAGTGAGACTCCATCTCAACAAAAAAAAAAAAAAGAAAAAGAAAAAAGAAAAACACCTAATAAATAAACAGACCTAATAAAAAAGAAATACAATCTCAACAGTCTTGGTCTATGTGGTTACTACTTAGTTTTTTCTTATTATTTTTCATGATCTTTTCCTTGCATAAATCTTCCTGGTTTGATCTTTGGGGAGGCAGACAGATGCTGGCTAGGAAGTTTAAGACACAATTAGCTTACATATTTATCACATTGTGGCTATTTCAACGTACTGATGCCTCCCCCAGCAAACTCCAATATACAGATACAATATCTGCACTCCAGCCTGGGTGACAGAGACTCCATCTAAACACACACACACACACACACACACACACACACATACACACAGAAAAAAGAAAGATCTCCTGTTAATCAAAATGCAGTGAGAAATCGGTGTTGGAAAATCATATTGGAAAATATATTTGCATGACATGCATCCAGTAAAGTACATCAAGCCAGAATACAGAATAGAAAGATGTCCATCAAATGAAAAAAATATATAAAAGATGTACATACAAAATGGGTGAAAAACTTCAGTAGGCACTACTGAAGACAGAATAAACGGTCAATAAAATCCTGAACACATGTCCAAATTCTGTTTGGCTTCAGATAAATGCTGATGAAAAATCACAATGAGATATTCATACACACTTCTGTTTGGCTAAAATGAAAAAACAGCAGTGCCAAGTGCAGACAAGGCTATGGAGCAATCGTACCATTCATGTATAGCTAGTGAGAGTTTAAGTGTATCCCAACCTGGATGTACATTGGAATCTCCTGGAGAGTTTGAAAAACTAATGGCAGCACCTACCCCTATACATTTGTATTCCACTGATGTTGGATGCAGCCTGGGGTACAGGAATTTTACAATCCCCCAAAGGCCAAAAGGACAGCCAAGGATGACACACCACTTCCCTGGGTGGTTTGGAGTCTGTGGTTCTGAACCTTGGTTTGCAGAAAACACACCTGGGAGTGTTTTCACACCTGGGCACCTTCCAGACCAATGTCTCAGGATGCCTATGGGAGGGACCAGGAAATCAGTATGTATGTATGTATGTATTTATTTATTTATTGAAACAGAATCTCCCTCTATTGCCTTCTGCCTCTGTTGCCCAGGCTGGAGTGCAGTGGCATGCTCTAAGGTCACTGCAAGCTCTACCTCCCAGGTTTAAGCTATTCTCCTGCCTCAACCTCCCAAGTAGCAGGGATTACAGGCCTGAGACACCACGCCCAGCTAATTTTTTTTTCTTTTTTTTTTTCTTGGAGACAGAGCCTCACTCTGTTGCCCAGGCTGGAGTGCAATGACGTGATCTCAGCTCACCTCAACCTCCACCTCCCAGGTTCAAGCGATTCTCCTGCCTCAGCCTCCCAAGTTCCAAGTAGCTGGGATTACAGGCCCCCGCCACCACACCCAGCTATTTTTTGTATATTTTTTTAGTATAGACGAGGTATCACTATGTCGGCCAGGCTGGTCTTGAACTCCCGACCTCAGGTGATCTGCCCACCTCAGCCTCCCAAAGTGCTAGGATTACAGGCATGAGCCACCGTGCCCAGCCACACCCAGCTAATATTTGTATTCTTAGTAGAGTCAGGCTTTCATCATGTTGGCCAGGCTGGTCTTGTCCTGACCTCAAGTGATCTGCCCACCTCAGCCTCCCAAACGTAGGGTCCAGCCCCACAGGGTTGGTGGGTTTTTCTCCCTGTGTGCGGAGACAAGAGATTGTAGAAATAAAGACACAGGACAAAGAGATAAAAGAAAAGACAGCTGGGCCCAGGGGACCACTACCACCAAGACGTGGAGACTGGTAGTGGCCCCGAATGCCAGGCTGCAGTGATATTTATTGGATACAAGACAAAGAGGCAGGGTAAGGAGTGTGAGCCATCTCCAATGATAGGTAAGGTCACGTGGGTCACATGTCCACTGGACAGGGGGCCCTTCCCTGCCTGGCAGCCAAGGCAGAGA